AGTGGTGATGGCCGTGACCAAGTTAAGGCCTTACTTCCAGGCCCACACCATCATAGTCCTCACCAACCTCTCTCTGAAATCCACGCTGGGGTCAATGGACGTGGCTGGGCGCCTTGTCAAATGGGCGGTCCATCTAAGTGAGTTCGACGTCAGGTATGCGCCTCGCCCTGCCATCAAGGCCCAGGTCCTGGCCGACTTCGTCGCAGAGGGTATAGCAGAGTCAGAGAAGGGGACAGACGACCGCTGGCAAGTTCAAGTCGATGGAGCGGCCAGCCGTACGGGCGCCGGAGCGGGTATTGTGATGATAAGCCCCGGAGGCGGATGCACGAGGTCACGCTGCGATTCGCCACCTTAAAGACAAACAATGCTGCAGAGTAGGAAGCGGTGATTGCTGGCATGACCATGGTTAAGGAGCTGGGCGCCCACAAAGTCCAGGTCAAGTCCGACTCGGCCCTCGTCGTCAACCAACTTAACGGAACATTCGAAGTAAAGGAGGAAGCGTTGGAAGGATACGTGCAAAGGGTGGCTGACTTATTGCGCTCTTCGTCGAGGGCGCCCTGAATTTGTGACACCTGCAGGGCCGCATTCATCTGCGCCTCCTCGCATTCCTTCACGAGTTGCTCGCGACGCTCGGTCGCGTTCTCAAGGTCATGCTTGAGGGAGGAGACAGAGGTAGAGGCTTCGAGCGCCTCCCGCTTGGTTTCAGAGAGGCGCCGGGCGCCTCTCTCAGCAAAAAGAAGAATCTACACACACAAAGTAAAAAGAGTTAGCACTTGTGCAAAGTTAGTATAAAAAAAAACTCAAGAACGCAAACAAAGTGGAACATACCTTGGCACCCACTTTCGCCAGTTCAGCTAAGAGGTGATCCCCATTCATCTCCGACGGCACTTGTCACATCTTGGCAGCCGTAATTGCCATCCCCATGGCACAGCCCCGGTCGACAGCCACCAGTGGGGAACATGGCAGCTCTATGCGCCCAACGTCGTTGCGCCTGGGCTGGAATATGGGGGGGGGGGGGGGGCGCCCATCGGGGCCTACATACTACCCCTCTTCGTTTAGGTGGTATTCGAAGGCGCCCCCTCCTCCGCTTCGGGCGCCGGCGCCCATCTTTTCCTTCTCTTTGTCAGCCCTCTTGCTGACATTATCCAAGGGGGAGCCAGCCCGCTTCCCCCGTCTAATCAAGGGCTCGGCTTCCTCTTCCCCGGAGTTCCCCTCCTGCTCCGAGGGCTCCGTAGTGGGCGCCTCAACGTGGGGCGCTTTTTCCTCTTCCTTCGGTGCTGAGGACACCACGCTAGCAGTCTTCGTGGTACCCCCCTTCACCGCCCTCTTCTTCTGCTTCTTGGGGCCAGAAGGAGGCACCTGTGGTTCCGGAGCAGCCGCAACAGGTGCCTTGAGCCGATTTGATGGGGGCGCCCCTCCAACCATGGCAGCAAGATGACTCTTCATCAGCTTCGCAATGCTGGTGAAGTCCGACCCTGCACATCGCTAAGTAAGTTAGCACAAAAGCAAAAGTCATTAAAACAGAGTCACAACAAAGACATTCACGCAATATATGGGCATCTACGGACCATCATTATAATACGCCTCCAAAATTGGGGGGCGATTTTCAGTCTTGCGCAAGTTTACGCGCGTCTCGCAAATCAGACGGGCGCCGTCCTTTTCTGCTGGAGATAACTCGACGGGCGCGTTAAACTCTTCTACGCTCCCCAGCCTCCACTCTCTCTGGAAGGCGCCCCCACTCTCGAAGAACGAGTCTCGGTACGCCTTCATGAAGAAGAACCCGTTAAACCACCTGCGCCCCAACTTCGGGCACTTCTCCACAAAGTGATTGGGGCGCCCTTTCCTCTTTTGAAGCGATAGGCAGTTGTCAAGGGGCGCCATCTTGAAAAAATACCGAAAAAGGTTGAAGGTAGGCTCCACGTTATGTTCGCGGCATCTCAGCTTGAACAAGATGACTAACACGATCACCGAGGGAGACAGGTGCCCCAATGGGCAGCCACAGGTCGTCAGAATACCCTCCATTATGTGGTCGAGTTGGAACCGCAGCCGAAGCAGAAATACTCTTGATACACCCCTATCCACTTAGGCCCGCAGACGCCCACTCGCGAAATAGGGGAAGGAGGCGCATACCACCAGTCACGGGGTAGTTGGAGACTGGTCACCAACTCATGAACGCGAGCCAAGGTGACGGTGAAGGTGTGCTGTGGGCCCGCTACGTCGAAGGGCAATGTGTCCGTCTCCTTCGGGAGGTGATCGGGCGGAAATGAGTTCTCCCACACGGAAATCTTGTACGACCCATCGGCGGGCATGAAGCCTGGAGTGGAGGCACTTGATGGACCCGCGGACGTCGACGCAGGCGCCCTCTCTAAACCAATAAACAACCCAGGCGCAATGTGGACGCAGAGTAAGTGACGCCCTACCCTAGGTAGCTAGAATAAAGACAAGAAAAGCAACTAATAGATCAAGAAAATTCCTTACCACTTCGACTTGGGCGCCTTGCTTCGCCACCCGCATTCGAGGCGCCTGTTCTTGCCTCTTCACCCCCAGTGGGGGCGCCCTGGCCGATGACTTTGTCTGCTTGCGAAGACATTCTTGGACGAGTGAAAGGAAAGGCTGACGAAAGCGCAGGGGACTCTTAGAGAGATGTCAGGAGAGAATCTAGAGAGAAGTCAGAGCGAAAATTCTAGAGAGAGGCGAGAATGTGGAAAGTGACAAGGACTGAAGGGGAGAGGGGTATTTAAAGGAAAAGAGGAACATGTGGCAAGACACGCGTCGCGCGCCACGTGTCACCATCAAGGGCGGGCTTTTGAGCTCCCCCCACCTTTTCCTTTTTGTTGGAATTTTGGCCAAATTTAAGATCCTCTTTTCGAATTTTTTAAATTAAATTCGAAATATTTTTCAAAATTCAAACAAGAAAAACGTGGGGGCCAATATCAAACGCCCGCCCGTGAGGGGGGCATAAGGGATAGAGGCGCCTTTATGAAAGGCGCCCGGAAAGAAGCTGAATAAGGGCGTGTCGAGAGGGAGGCGCCCAATAAAAAAGGGGGAAGAGAAAGAAGGCAAAGAAGACAAACAAGGAGGCCAAGCAAGCCGAAGTCGGGACTGAAGTCGGGATGGACAACACGACAACAGATGGCCAATAGAGAAGTCGGACACCATAAGGACGGACGCACTCAGGAAGCTGGGCGCCTACTGACTAGAGGAAGGACAAGACAACAATAACTGAGTCAGCTAGGCGCTCAAAAGCAGAGCTATGAGCGCCTAGCTGGGGGGGCAATTGTTGGGGGTATTATGAACAAAGCCCAATGGGCGACAGCGTGGGCTCCCAAACAGCCCAATTGGGGGGCAAGGCCCAAGCAAAAGGGAGGGCACATAAGGACAAGACACTAGAAGTCAAAGAAGGCCAGACTGTCATGTGGTCCAGCGTCTGCGGGCTCCTGTCACGTGCCAGGAGTCTGACAAGGTGGTTGGGATGTCTGACCAGAAAGGGACAAAGCATTAAATGAAGGCAGGGAAGTAGAGAAGATCAACCTCGAACTCTGGTGAGTATAAATAGGGGCAGTTGGTAGCATTTACACAGGTTGGACTCTCTCTCACTAAACTCTGATTTGAGACACTTCTCTCTTCAAAGAAACTAACTTGGGCGTCGGAGGATTAACGGGCCCAGGCGCCCCCTCCTTGTTCGTGTGTGCAGAGCGGCGCCTTGAGAGAAGGGATTCCAGAGAGCTGTACGAGGGTAACGAGTCTCAAACAGCTACGGTGAAGGATGTTGGGATTAAGTAATTATTAGTAGTGACTAGTGACTGAGATGAGAGGCAAAGAGTTGTTTATTTATGCTTTTACTTTTTCATCAATAAAGACTGTTTGTTATAGTTTGTCTCCATTCGAGTTCAGATTTTGAATCATGAAATCCCTAGTTTTAGGGCAACAATTTTTTTTTATCGTCGAGACACATGCTATAAATATGGATTCCACTAAAATATACTGTTGATTACGATTAATGCTCGTAACAAACAAATTTACCGACGAATTTTAGATGGAATTTCTCCACGGAGCCAGAATAGGGAAAAAAAAAATGAACACTTACATTTGCTAGCCACAATAATCCATCTTAGTAAACGGGAATTACATTTAATTAGTGAGCACTTCTACTATGCTATATAGTATTGGTGCTTTAATGTACAATTTAAAGTTGTACCATAACATTAATGTATAAGTTTAGGTTGTACCATAAAACAATTTGTGCTATTATGTTATGGTACAACTTTACAACTTGAAATTGTACTATCACGTAAAGGTACAAGTTCAAGTTGTACCATAAAAGAATTTGTACAAAAAGTATAGGTACAATCTAAAGTTGTACCATAACATAAATGTACAATTTTAAGTTGTACCATAAATACAAATCACTATAACACCAATACTATATAGCATTGTAAAATTTCACTTAGTAGCCGCAAACTTGTCTGATGTTCTATGTATGTGCCTGCTAGAGACCGGCAACACAAATGTTCCCAACCGTTAGAATTTAGAAATGAAATATATGATTGGACAAAGCAAAAAAAAAAAAAAAAAAAATCCAAAATATGTGCATGAAAACGAACGTAAGTTTTATTTATTTATTTATTTATTACAACTCGCTCTTGCTCTTTCCTCTCCTTTTTCTGTTCTTCTTGGAAGCCGTCAAAAAGAGCTTCCAATTGGTGGACTGGCGTCCTTCATTTGTACTTACATCACATAGTTAATAGTGGTGTCATGTCATCTGGTGATTGGTCCCCTGAAGATTGCGTGCGCGTGGGAGTGGGGGCCCAAAATATCTATTACTTTACATTTCCAACGTAACTAAACAGAAAGCTCCTGCTGTCTATCCCCTGTCCTTTCTTTCTTTCCTCTCCTAAGCCTCCAAAACAAAACTCCGTCCAATTAAACGGCATTCCCAGGTGGACGGTGGCTGGCCTCACTTCCCTCCAACATTCCTCTCCCCCCGGCCCCCACCCCTCAAAAACATCTTATCTTTACTGTTCAACTTCCAACTGCCAACTACCAACAGCTAGATTCCTCACCTGACACCACTGGCTAGATTCCAGATCCCAGATTCCAGATTCACCACCAGACCCTTCTCCTGTCTTCCGCCCAGGAATCAAGAATCCCACCAACGACAACATTATAGCTTCACAAGGTGAATCCAACCCGAACCCAGACAGACCACCCATTCTGAACCAGCCTCTGCATACCAATCAATCACCAGGGGAGCATTACAATTAGGAATCTATGAGGGCGTTGTTGATGGATTGTATCTCTGCCGGAAACCCTTCTTGATGAGATCCGAACGTAGGCCATGATTGAATCGAGACGAGATTGTTCGAGCTGTTAATTAAAGCTGAGAAGTTGCTGATATCAAGCTCTGGAAGCTTGACGTGATCTGGTTGTAACTTGTAAATAATAGCATTCCATGACGGTACGTCGCTACATTGCCTCCTACTAAATGGGGAAATGCAGGATTCGATGCTTTCGAATCTGGAACATTCTATCTTGAGTAAAAATTATAGAACAGCATACTAGCAGCAGACAGATGAAGGCTATGCCCGCCGGGACCGAAACATCTATGGTGAAGAAACCCGACTTAACAGCATAGTCATGGAGATCAGACCCTTCCAACGTCCAAACGGTGAGACCTACTGCAGACAGGGACTGTGGCCAAACTGCTCGAGTCAGGCTTTAAACCCAGAACGAACACGCACTAGAAAACATCCAAAGCTTCCTGAACGAGCCCGTGGAGAGAATAGCCAGCAAACAGAGCGTTCAGAGAGACCAAGTCTGGTTGAGGAATTTCGTCGATCAGTGAGCGTGCATGAGCAAGAAACCCGCTTTTCAAATACAAATTGACCAAAGCTCTCTCCACAAAATGCCAGCGAGTTCGGAGAGTTCAGAAGTTGAGGCCATAGGAATTAAAACCATCCAAGCGTTCACAAAATGCTGGCGACGAGTTTATAAAGTTCTCATAACATCCATAGGTTTCTGATCAGAATGATGCATAAGACTCAGAAATACATTATGCAGTAGAGTCGACGGCCTGAAGAATATAGTTAGCGTTGAGCCCGTAGATTTCTTACATAAGATATCTTGATGCTATATCCGGTTCGTACAAACATAGGTATATTGTGCAGCAGGAAAAATGATTAAAATCAAAACCATAAATTCATTGTTGGAAGCATCAGTAGTGGTACGATGTTCTTCTCATCATCCTCAGGAATTCCTCAATGTTCACTTCTCCATCCCCTGTAAGATACTTACAAACTCAAGTGAGATGACGATTGACGGGGCACAGAGAAGGTTGGGAGGTTAAAGCAATCTATTAGTCAGTAATTATTGTGTTACTTACGGTCTTGATCAGCTACATCAACCATCTCTTTGATCTCTCTGTCGGAGAAGCTCTCGCCAAGCTCTTTTGCTATTCGCTTAATGTCATCGACTGATATCTTCCCCTGAATAAGAATGACGGGACAACAGGATAAAGTAAGAAATCTGGAAAATTGAAGCAAAGACCAGCATAACAAATGAAGAGAAAACCTCACATTCTTATCATTGTCAAGGATGCGGAATGCTTTCATGAGTTCTTCTTTAGTATCCCTTTCTCCAATTTTGGCCGTCATCATGTGCACGAATTCATCAAAGTCGATTGAGCCACTGCCATCCTTGTCCACATCTGCAATCATTTGATTGATTTGCTACATATACAAAAGGCGAGGCATCATTCACACCAATATGTCAAACAGTCAATTGAAAACATCATACAATCATAGTTTGATGAGGCCTATAAACAGTTGAGTAAAAGAGATCACTCATGTTTCACCGCATACCAGCCACCTAACTAGAGATTGAATAACAAAACAGAATTACCAAGAACATGAATACGATATCGGAATGAAAGATACCTCTTCTGTCATTTCAAAGCCGAGCGCCCTGTTACAAGATAAGTTCCTGACTCAGTATTTGCTTAACCCAGATAATCAGAAGACAACTTAAAAGCAATTCATACCTCATGGCAACATTCAGCTCCTTAGCATCAATAGTCCCTAAAAGGACCAAACACAAGTTAATATGCCAGCATGTAATCAAATGAACTCCAGAATGAAACATAAGGAATCAGCTAAGGTAAAAGAAGAAGGTAAAAAAAGAGGCAAGAGTACCTGAGCCATCAGTGTCAAATAGATCAAATGCTTCCTTAATTTCTTGCTTCTTCTGCTGGGTTAACCCACCATGATGACGGGATCTCGGCTTATCCTTCCTGGATACCCCTCTATAGAGATTCGACTGAAGGTAGAGTGCATGCAAATAAACATCGATCATCTCACAAGTAGCTCAAATGACATTCAAAAGAAGTTATATCTTGATTAAACATGTGTGGACATGGAATGGAAACTGGAAAGCCTAATTTTGGAGAATGCCTTTATACTACTACTACTACTACTACTGATGAAAATGGCACAGAAATACCGAAAATAGCAAGAGGAACATAAAGAAAAGAACATCATGTTTATCTCAGACCATGATACTCAGTTCACATTGATACTATTGTTCAGACATGGTATGCGTATGGCATTGGATGAGTCTTAAGCTTCTGCAAACATTTCATTTTGATCTAACATATTTGCCAACAATGCAGCTCCTACCACAAATAATTTTGGACGACATCTTGTCCCGAAAAGGGGCATCTAATTGGTAGATATAAGTCAAAGATTTGACTAACAAAAGAAGCCATTATGGACAAGAAGCATTAATAGGCTAGGCACTGCAGAATCACCAGTCTAGACCAGTTTAATCCACAGTCCAAACGATGGAAAATTGAAGCACATTGGTCCAAGGTCAGTGAAAACAAGAAAACCCCATTAAAGTAAAAGCTGAGATCTTCTACACTCTGTCAGTCGCTAAACACGGTTTCACCGGGAAAATTCAATTCGAATGGGCAGGAGCAGGTAAACAGTAAAGTTACGAGATAAGCACAATATTTCGCGAGGATTCTTGGTTCATATCAGAGTTGCCTCCAGTCGTACTGGAAAACGAAAAGGAATGAATATTACGAGTTAGGGGATTCTATTGAAGAACAAACCATGGATTCCGAGGATGAGGTTCACGGCGGCGAACAGAGAGGTTGAAATTGCCCGGCGGAAATGGAAATCTGACCGACTTTCGGGCTTTCACGAAGCTCTGCAAATGTCTCAGCAAGGATGATCGTTCGTCGTCTTCTTTTCCATGCCCTGTTGAGCAACCTTTCGCAGTGCAAGCGTTATCAAGTATCAACGCGGTGAAGAAATTGGGCCTCTCTGGTAAATCTTCCTTTGTGGGTCAGAATTTAGAGGTCTGTGAGTCTACGGCTTCTTACTGAATGGGCCTCTTAGTACGGCCCAATGATAGGCCACTGTTACCCAGCCCCAGCGGCCAGCAGCCAGAATCTGTTGCGCGATTTCCCTTCCGACGCCGGCCTTCCCAGTTCCCACTAGGGATGGCAATTTCGACCTGACCCGATTTACCCGACCTGTTTGACCTGTTTTGGGCAGGTCAAACCCGTCCTGTAGGCGGGGTGGGGCGGGCATGGGTACCTCTCATCGACCCGACCTGCCCTGACCCGCCCCATTCTCGACCCATTCTTGCCTATATTACATATAATATTAGTCAAATTACTTAGGATTTTCCTCTTATTACATTATATTTTAGCTATAATAAAGTTGTAAATAAGTGAAAACCTCAATTTCTTCAATAATTTAACTACATTTTATCATATTATGGTTTCTTTCTTGGTCTTTTAATGAAAATAACAAATGTTTCTAATGTTTTTCGCATAAATTACATACACAATAGGTCGACCTGCCCCGACCTGCGCCCCGTGATAAATTACCCGACCTGGACCCGACCTGCCATGGGGCGGGTATGGGTATCGCGATACCCGCCCCGGACCTGCCCCATTGCCATTCCTACTTCCCACTCAACTAGGATGGCAACAAAACCCGAACTTACGGGTATCCACCCGACCCAACCCGGTCAACGCGGGTAAAACCAGTGTTGACGTGTTTTGGACAGGGTTCGGGTTTAAACCTGCTACACTATTCACCGGGTTGGGTTGGGTTTGGGTTTATGTAAACCCGCCCCATGGGTACCCGCCCACACATATAATTACTTTTCCGGTATATTTAATATTCTAAATAATATATCTTCTTTAAACAGCTAATATTCTTTATGTTTGTGGAGACATGTATAATTTGTTATTTCTAATTATTTAGAATGAAGTTGATATTATGGAGTGGAGAGTGAAGAAACTTATTTGACGAGGAAGAAGATTTCAATTAATCTTGTTGTTTATAGATGTTTATCTTTAATTTTGAACAATTTGTATTGATCATTTGCGGTTTGCTTGTATGTTCTAGATTGGTATTTTTTGTATGAATAATTTGTCTGATAAAATTGATGTTAAACTTTTATTTTGAAAGAAAATTGTTATTATAAATTTTTTACCACAAAAACCCACGGGTACCCATGAACCCGCAGATACCCAGCGGGTTGGGTTTTAGTTTTTCAAACCCAACGAGTTTTACCCCGGATTTTTTTGGCGGATAAACCCATGGGTTTGAGTTTGGGTTTGACAAAACCCGCCCCAACCCGATCCATTGCCATCCCTACACTCAACCACTCTCCAATTTCATAAAAAAGAAAAGGACAACGGAGGACTAGGAGCTGTCAAGAGGAGAAAGGCCCAGTCTACTTTCCTCTGTTCTCATGGTGATGTCTATTTTCGTGTTATTTTACTTTTGATGGCTAGTCAAGAGAATGTAGCCGATATATCTCAAACTCAACAAGCAAGTAATGTTGTGGTTGATGAAGAATTATCGGTTGGGTCGAATTCTAGAAAGGGGAAAGCATTTATCCTTCGATCACCGCATAGGGTCGGATTCTCAATGTTATTTATTTACTACAGAAGGAGAATTACCGGTTGAGGTTCGGAAAGGAAAGTGTAATCACCATGGAGCTATCATTGTTGTCTCAAGCAATCATGACATAAATGACTTGAAGAACCATAAGGCCTCTTGTGAGAAGAAATATTTGGAGCTGCTACAAGTAGGGCTGGCTATTTGGTCTCGGACCGGATGTAAAACCGGAAACCGGACCGTATAACCCAAACCGTTTAAGACCGGGATCGGATTTAAAACAATCCAATCCCGTCTTTGGTCTCAAAATTAGTAAAAAGCTCGGACCAATCCAGTCCTGGTTAAAACCGAAAAACTGGATAATTACAAAACAGACTTAGAGACTCAAAATAAGCCCAGGGACAGACCAAGCCCATGACCACTCAAACCACTCCACCCTCGCCATCCCAGGCGAGCTTTCTGTAGAGTGTAGGGTTCCTGGTGGCTTTCTAATTTGCATCAGCTTCCTGCCGCCAACCAAGTCAACACTAAACATTCAACAAGCCTCCCTCTCCCTCCCCAAGTCCCCATTCCATCGGATCATCGCATCGCTGACACTCCACCAACCCACTTCCCGCTGCCGACGGCGACCCACCTCCTCTTGTCGCCGGTTGCCATCCGCCACGTCACTGTTCGCTCCCACCTCCTCTCCGCGACGAGACGTCGCGACCCAGCCAGCCTCCACTCCGTCCCGTCGCGACCCAGCAAGCCTCCGCCCTACATTCTGTCCCGTCGCTCCCACCTCCGATCAGCTCCATGACGCGACCAACCAACTAGCAACTCAATTTTCGTCGTCCTCCATTCCGTCCCAGGTGGATCCCACCTCCGCTCTGCTCCAAAATACGACCCTGCATCTCGTCTCCTTCCGTTCGTCGACCAACACAGCCTACAACCGCCGCCAAAGTCAGAACTATGGAAGGGAGCAGCAGCTGGGTAAGTTACTAATATTATAAATAATTAGTTGTAGTTTATTGTTGATTAATTTTAGTGATGAATTGAATGATGGAATGTGGTAAATTGAATGGTGGAAAGTTAGAGGGGACCAAGGAGCAGAAGCTGGGTTGTTTGTTCTTTAATGGAGAAGGAATTAAAGTGCATTTTCTGATATTGATTGAATTGTGTTGTGTAGGGTAGTACCGACATCAAGAGAAGGTGGAAGTTTGCCTCCTCTTCCTAGTAAGAAGCGACCACAACCACAAGCTTCAAAGGCAGCCGTTGAAAGTGGGAATAATAGTGAAAATGTTAATGTTCAAGCTGCCTACAACTCAAGAACAAGAACGACCAGCAGCTACCAACACCACAACAACACTTGTAACAGAGAAAACCAGTAGGGAGTATTTGTTAAAATCACCTGTATGGCAGCATTATGATTGTTACAAAGATGCTAAAGGCAAGAAGAAGGCAAGGTGTCATTACTGTGGAAAGCCACTGGCTGGGGATCCCTTGGGAAATGGTACAAGTTCTTTGGGTAGGCATACTCAAAAGTGCTTAAAGAAACAACAAGAAAAGGGGAAGCAGTTGAATCTAGAACTCAATCCAAGTTCTGTTGAAGGGCAAGGAGTTTTGGGGACTTGGAAATTTGACCAAGCATTTATCATTGTTGGGTTAGTTGAAATGATAACTATGGATGAAATGCCTTTTAGGAGCGTGGAGAAAGAAGGTTTTAAGCGCTTCATGGCACGTGCTTGCCCGATGTTTAAGATTCCAGGCAGAAAAACAATTAGAGAAAATTGTTTTTTCTTGAACAGAAGGGCAAGTTGAGAGATTACTTCAAGATCAAGTGTGGAAGAAGGGTGTCCATAACTACAGATAGTTGGACTTCTTGTCAAAATTTCAACTATATGTGCATCACTGCACACTTCGTTGGGAAGGATTGGAAGTTGTACAAGAAGGTGATAAGTTTTTGCAAGATACAAGTCATAAGGAGATTGATCTAGGTGATGCAATAGCTGATTGTTTGGAGCATTGGGGTTTGCAAAATATTTTCACAGTCACGGTTGACAATGCAAGTGCAAATGACACGACACTTCTTCATTTGAGAGATCGACTTGAAGAATGGGGTGCTAATATAGTTGGCGGAAAGTACCTTCATATGCGGTGTATCGCTCATATAGTGAATTTGATTGTGAGCGACAGTTTAGAAGAGATGGGCATGTCAATAAGAAGGGTGAGAGTGGCTGTGAGATGGGTTAGATCATCACCATCTAGATTGGCAAAGTTCAAGAAGTGTGTGGAATTTCACAATATTGAATCCAAGAAGATGTTGAGTCTAGATGTGCCTACAAGGTGGAATTCCACCTACTACATGCTTGAAGTTGTTGTGATGTTTGAAGATGCATTCACTAGTCTTAAGAGGAAGGATAAGGATTACAAGCCCGAGCTCAAGGCAAAGAGGTACAAGAATCAAGAAATTGGTGTCCCTCAACATGAAGACTGGAAGAATGCAAAAGCTTTGATGAAGTATTTGAAATTCTTTCATGATTTGACTTTGATTGCATCCACTACTTCTGTCGTGACTGCTTATCGATTCTTGAGAGAGTTTGGAAAGGTATTCTATCATGTTGAGAAAATGATGAATAACACAGATGATGACATAGTTAGGTTGGGTATGAAGATGAAGGCTAAAGTTGACAAATATTGGTCGGAGAAGGATTGTGTCAACTCCAGATTGAACAGGTTGGTTTACATGGTTGTGGTGATTGATCCGAGGCATAAGATGAATTATCCGGATCATATTTTCAAGAAGATGTGTTGAGAGGATAGGGCAAAAGTATTGGTGAAAGAGTTGAATGATGAACTTGAGAAGTTGTTTGAATATTATCTTAGTAAGATCCCTCCTCTTGCTCCTTCTTCTCCTCCAAAACGTCGAGTACAAGTTTCCACTTCAAGTTCGCCGAGGGAAACTAGTGATTTTGATGAATCTTATGATGATTATGATCCTGATGATGATTATGGAAAACCTCAAGCTGACCATACTAAGAGTGAGTTGGAGAAGTATCTTGCTCATTCTCGAGAATATGATGATGCCGAAGAAGAGTTTGATGTGTTGAAGTGGTGGAAGACTAATGCCATGAGGTATCCCGTATTGAGTGAGATGGCAAAGGATCTGTTTGCTATTCCTATGTCAACTGTTCCTTCCGAGTTCGTTTTTAGTACAAGTAGGAAGACAATGAGGACAGATTGTGCAAAGTTGTTTCTTTAATGAAAAGATAGCTTGAAGTCCTTCTTCAAAGATAGAGGCATGGGGCGGGTTTCAATCACAATGGATTGTTGGACATCGTTGAAGAACGATAATTATGTAA